GATGCTTTTTGTTTGATTGAATAATAAAAACACAAATTTACCTCCATAATCATGTAAAAACACCCCTTCTTGACTCTCAGCTGGTCAGTTTGTAGATTTTTGTAAAGAAATGGGAACAATTAGGAGATGCAGATTGTTACTGTGGGTGGTCTTCCTCTGTAAACACATCTTTTGTCCCCAGTAACACACAGGTGTTCTGTTTTCTCTGTTGACTTTACAAGCTGTTAAACTTGTTAACTTGATCCTCTTTGCTCTCCCGTCGGGACAACAGGATCTACAGTTTAAAAGGTAGGAAGTTGTTTTATTTGGGATGAACCTCTGCAAACTCTTTTTGGTGTCTGGTTTTAAAGTCGATATTTCTGTTTATGTCGTCTCCACCTGTGACATCTGTGGTTTGTGCTGTCAATGTGGACAGGTTATTTTAATAACTCGTTTATTGTCTGCCATCTGTCCCTTACTGAAAACTTTTCTGTTTCTAACATCGTGTTGAAAAGGCGTGAACGAGGTGCATCTGAACATCTGATTTAAAGATTTAATGTCTCATTTAGAAAATTCTATGAAGAAGTATTCAGAGTTTATAAATCCTGATTAAATATCCACATAAAAAATAGAAGTTCCTCCTTCACTCCTCTGAGGTTCGGTCATACTGTTAGTGTACTGATTCTGAGTTTCTGTCGTTATTTAGGAACTGAATCAGGAATTAAACTCATTAAAAACTGACATGACTTTTCATTTTCTGTAGTAATTTATTGTTTTTCTTTGCTCTTCTTGTATCATGAACCCTCTGAACCTCTGCACCAATCAAAACTCTTTTTTAGCATTGTGCTATCAGAGCATGCTAGCTCGTTTCCTCTTACGTTGAGTTCATGTTTTGGGACCTGCAAACCCAGATATTGGGGTCCAGTGAATGAATTATAAATCACAGGTGGTCCTGCTCTCATCTAGAACACAGCTCACAATTTTTAAATGAGCTTTTTATTAACAGCCCCAACAGAAAACAGCAGGAATACACGATTCAAGGCACTCCACATCAAAGCAAAGCAAGAACGCTGAGTTCAGATCAACCCCTGGACCTAGACCTGCCTGATGTTTCACATTAGTTGTTCACAGAGACCTGATGTTCTGGTCTCTGGTTTTGTCATTTTAAATGGCATTCAGACACCTTAACCAAAGCCCGAATTTGTTTTTAAATAGAGTAGGGCTGCCACGATTAGTCGATTAGTCGATTAGTCGACGACTAATCGATTATTAAAATAATCGATGACTAATTCAATAATCAATTAATCGTTTTCTTTTTCTTTTTTTGTTTTTTACTTTGTTTTTCTCTCCAAACTGCTTTGACACCTTCCACTGCCACATCTGCCTTTCTGTCCTTGACACATATTCGCAGTAGTGATAACTGGTGTAGGCCACGTCACAAGACATTATACAGACAGGCTTTGGTATCATGGCTACCTGRCAACGGAGCTCAAAAGTGTGGGGTCATTTTAAGAAAATGAAGAGAATCCGGCAGTCACAACTCAGCAGATTTCCTGAATGACTGTCTGCTGTGTTGTTGCTCAGAATTAAATCATTTGATGACCATACATGCAGACTTTCTGTGCATTTATTCCAACGTGTTTCTGCATTCTTGGTAAATCATACCACAACAGATTTTTGGCGTTGTCGGCAGGATCACCTTTTGGCCGTACATTCATTTTTAGTATGGTTTCCACGCAATCCTTTATAAATCTGACCCCTGATGTTTAATTTGCACTACTTGCTTTAAAGTTCATTAGCATTCATTTAGCTGAGAAACTGTAGGTGTGCTTTTAAGTTTTATTTTCTTTTTTTCACACTGTCTTGTGTCGTGTTCGGTTTTGGTACATTGGGGCAAATTAATTCAAGCAAGCCTTTTGCTTCATTTTTTTCTCTCAACACAAAAAGGAAATCTGTCAGATTTGGGGTTTATCAAACTTCTCGATTGACATTTTTTAATGCTCTTGTTTGACGTACAAACCAAATTGAGACAACTTTACTTTTCAATTCACAATAAAGTTGTTAGATCAGGAAATATCACAATGCTGGATACTTCTGAAACTTAAAGTACTCTAGATGGTTAAAGCACATTAGTGTTTTGTCTCTGGTTTTGAGTGAGTTATTTTATGTTTAAATTGGACCTATAATGGCTCCTTGAACAAGTTAGGATACATCTGTGGGCGATACAAATGTTTATTAGATTTAATTCACAAAATGAATATCAGACGATGAGATTTCACCTGGTCAGTTCTGTCTGTTCTGAGCTCTCTTCGAAACGAGGTGTTTATGCAGATAAGCTGCTGCTGGCAACACTCTCCCAACCTTCTGTTTACATTAGCTCCGCCCTCCCAGCACAGCATTTTTGTAATTAAGCACCTCAAAAACGTGATAATGGCTGCTACAAGCATCTGCTCGTAGATGCACAATGGTACAACAGTAGTAGACGGGCTGCGTGCCGTGCGGCCCCAGGCAAGGGCTTGGTAGGGACAGACTGTAGAGTCCAACTGAAGTCAGAAGCCCTGGTGCCGGGGAGGCAAACGCGCATGTTCCAAAGCCAACATAGTGGAGGGTGAAACAAATGGAGGGGTGGTCTAGGTCTGTGCCACTGCAGCCTGGAGGCTCCCGTGTCATGAGACGAGCACTGTGGCGCAGGAGGCTCCTGGCTACAGCCAGCTTCCAGTGTAATCATCCCCCTCCCACTGGATTGATTGACGACAACGGGCTGCACGCCATACGGCTACCCTGGGCGAGGGTGCCAGCAATGTCAAGGGGTAAACACAAACAGAGGGGCTGCTGCGGGGTGTCGGAAGGTGCTCGCCTCCACGGTCATGGATAGGGCTGCCACAAATGATTATTTTTATAATCGGGTAATCACCAATTATTTTTTTCGATTAGTCGACTAATCAGATAATACGTTAATTGAATATAAAACATAGAGCTTATCGTGCCAGAATGCAGCATATAACCATTGTTAGATTTTAGCTATATGCTAACTAAAAATAATTGCTGTGGAAGACAAGTTCTGCTCTGCAGATATTGCACAGGTTTCTCTTTCATTTTCTTAAAATGATCCCACACTTTTGAGCTCCGTTGTCAGGTAGCCATGATACCAGAGCCTGTCTGTATAATGTCTTGTGATGTCCACGGCCTACACCAGTTACCACTACTGTGCATGTGTGTCAAGGACAGAAAGGCAAATGTGGCAGTGGAAGGTGTCAAAGCAGTTTGGAGAGAAAATCAAAGTAAGGAACCAAAAAATGACTGATCGATTATTAAATTAGTCATCGACTATTTTAATGATTGATTAGTCAACGACTAATATCATTGACTAATCAACTAATCGTTGCAGCCCTAGTCATGGATCACAGCCACGCACTATTGTCCAGCATTAGTTTGTGCTAAATGACAAATCATGTTCCTACCGAACAGCAACACTAAACACACAACACATCACCATCATCTGCAGGTGTGTGAGGAACAGCAGGGACAGAAGTTTCCTTCAGCTGAAAGTCAATGAGTAAATCCAACTGTGTGCTGTTAGAATTTTCCAAAGTAGTCCATCATGAAATTATTTCCACCAACTACAACTTTCTTTGGCAATATTGCTAAAACATTGCCATCAAAAATAAAATTAAGCCACGCCTCTCTGTTCTCTGTGACAACAGAACAAACATGGTCGTCCTGTGAAGAGTCTTGGGTTACCAGCTGACCTCTCTTACACATTGCTAAGTTACCAGAAATGTGACATCACAATCCTCACGATTTGAAACAGCTCATTTGCTGCCATAAAAAAGAAACATTTACATATGGTCAAAAAACAACTGGCAGTATTTTATTTTTTTGCACTTGGACTGTTTCTGGAAGCAGTACAAATCCAAACTGAAGCATGACCCAAAAACATGTAAAAGTGAATTTTGCAATATAGGTCTCCTTTAAAACATGTAGAGAAAAACTGTTGCCTTTTTCGTACAAACCCATACTGTGTAGCATTTAACCCCTAGTTTACACTGAATACTGAAGGTCTGTGGAACTAAAGAAAATAAATCACCTTCTTAACTTCAGAGGATGAAAAAAGAGGAATATCAGTTTAAATCATCAGGACCCTTTTAGTCCCAGGTTTTATCATTCGTTGATGGTGTTTGCAGACATGACTTTAACTCTGTTGTTTTTTCTCCTGAAGGACTTGGCTTTACTGCCTGAGAAAGACAAGACCCCCCTGCTGGAAGGAGGAGTGACCCTCAGCGGTGGACAAAGAGCAAGGATTTGTCTCGCCAGGTATTTTCTGTCAACACATCATTTTCCTTCCTTTTTATATCTTTATATTGTTGCTCTTTTAGTATTAGTTTTATTCTGCTTTTATAACCTAGTTGTGCTTTTAAAGTTCAGGTTTGAATGACAAATGCTTTCTGTAAATCTCTGCAGACACGTGTGTTTGTTCCCATGCATTATTTATTGGTTGGGATTGATTTGTGGTCACTGATTGGTTATCTGCTTCTGCTCTAAATGTTTCTGAGAAGTGATTTCCAGCGTTCCCACAGAAATTCCTCTTCCTTTTCACACCCTGTGGATCTGGAGCCTGTCCTCTCCGTCTCTATCATCTATCCTCTTTCTGCTGGTTTTCTGTGTTTTTTGGACACACTGTAACAGTTTGCACCTGTCTCTGTGTTTGTCCTGCTGTGGCTCTTGTCTCGGTCAGGGCAGTGTATAAAGACGCAGATCTCTACCTGCTCGATGCTCCATTCACTCACCTGGACATTGCAACGGAGAAAGAAGTCTTTGAAAAGTAAGAATCCAACAGAGAGGCTTTCATGGAGCTGGGTGGGGGGTGGTGGGTGGGGGTGGGGAGCTGAATGGTTCAAGGTCAGGGATATCTCTGCTTGTTTCAGACTCACTTGTGAGGCTGCAGTGAACTAAAGCTGCTTCATCAGTCGACTTCTTTAGGGAACTGGATTATTTATTTCAGACTCAGCAAAAAGAAAATCATTGCTTGATGAAATTTGAACCTTTACTTTCTTACAACTAAAATTAGATTTCATGAAATAATTGAGACAAGGTCTCAATTATTCGATACGGGTACAGATATATATAT